TAATATATTATGTTTAATTCCATGGGCTCTAATCTTATGCAATGGCCTTTTATGTGGCGCCTTGTCGAATGCTTTCTGGAAATCCAAATATATCACATCTACTGGTTCCCCCTATCTAACCTGCTAGTTACATCCTCAATAAACTCAGACTTGTTAAACCTGATTTCCCTTTTGTATGTTGACTCTGCTAATCATGTTATCATTTTCTAAGTACCCCACGACGACGTCCCCTTTAGAACCCTAGGATGCAGGCCATCAGGTCCAGGGGATTTATCGTTTTTTAATCCTATCAATTTCTCTAGTACTACTGCTTTACTGATGTTCATTTTTTAAGTTTCTCACTAACATTAGCCTCCAGGTTCCCCTCTATTTTCAGTCCTCTAACTTGAAGAACAGAAGCAAAATATTTGTTTAATTAAGCTGCCATTTCTTTATTCCCCGATATAATTTCTACTTTCTCTGCCTGCAATGGACCCACATTCACTTTTGATAGTCTCTTCCTCTTTATGTACTTGTAAAAACTCTTAGAATCTGTCTTTGTGTTCCGAGCTAGTTTACCCTCATATACCATTTTTTCCCTCTTAATCAATTTCTTGGTTTTCCTTTTCTGATCTCAAAAACCCTCCCAATCCTCAGGTTTACTGCTCTTTTTGGCAGCATTATAGGCCTCTTCTTTTAATTTTATACTTTCCCTAACTTCACCAGTTAGCCAAGGTTGAACCACTTTTCCCATGGCATTTTTATTTTTCAAGGCAATATGTGATCGCTGGGAATTATGTATTATATCTTTGAACGTTTGCCCTTGCTATATTTTTAATCTAATTTCCCAATCTATTTTAGCCAAATCTTCTCTCATACCTGCAAAGTTGGCTTTATTAAAATTTAAGACCCTTGCTTCGGATTCAACTATATCACTCTCTAACTTAATGTTAAATTCCATCACGTTATGGTCACTCTGCCCGAGAGGAGCCTTAACTTCCAGATTGCTGATTAGCCTTATTTCATTACACAAACCAAAATCTAACCTGTTCCCTGGTTGGTTCCTTAGCATATTGTTCTAGAAAACTATCTCTAATGCATTCTATAAACTCATCCGCTAATTTACTTTTGCCAATTTGGTTTTCCCAGGCTCTATGAAGATTGAACTCACCTACTGTTAGTGTATTACCCTTGCTACATGCTTCTCTAATTTCCTGTTTAATACCCTGCCCAATACTGTAACTGCTGTTTGGGGGTCTATAAACTACTCCCCTAGTGTTTTCTGCCCCTTGTTTCTTATCTCCACCCATACGTAGCTCAGTGGTTAGAGCACTCGCCTTGCAAGTGAGACACCTGAGTTCAATTCCAGGCAGGGCGAAACCTTGGGCAAGTTTCCTTACTCCACATGCCTAATAATAATCCCTCCAAAATAAAAAAACAATAATAAATTGGTCATTTTCAATCCACAACTGTTTGTGGGACACTACTGTGCACAATTCGCTGCCGCGTTTCGCCCACAAATATACGGTCAATTCTCTTTACAGCATATTCTGTGAAGCACTTTGAGACATCTAGAAGACATGAAAAGCCCTATATCAAAGGCAAGGATTATTATTATTATTATTACCGAATCTACATCCTGATTTTCTGTTTTAAAATCCTTCCTCTCTATTGTTTTTATCTCATCCTTTATTAGCAGGGCTAACCTCCCCCCCACCGACCCCAACCTCATTTTCCACATTGCCTATCTTGCCTGTACACCGAAAACCCCAGAATATAGCTCCCACCCTTGGTCTCCCTGTAACCACATCTCAGTAATAACCACTAGACGAGATCATACCCATTTATCTCTATTTGTGCACTTAATTCATCCATTTTGTTACGAATGCTTCGTGCATTCAGATATAGCGCCTTTAATTTTGACTTCTTACTATTTCCCCTACTCGTTAATGCCCTATTTCCTTTGTTGAGTTTTTGTCCCTACTTGACACTCTGTTTTTTATCTCCCAAGTCACTACTCTGCTTTACAGCCTTGACTGTTCCTTGCATTGTTGGTTTACGTTTAACTGTAACTGTAACCTTCCCTCCCCCTTAATAGTTTAAAGCTCTGCCTATCTCCCTATTTAATCGTTTTGCCAGGACATTGGTTCCATCCCGGTTAAGGTGGAGCCCATCTCGATGGAACAGCTCCCTTTTCCCCACATTACTGGTGACAGTGGCCCATAAAACGAAACCCCTGCCTCTGCACTACTCTTTCAGCCACGCGTTTAACTCTTTAATTTCTTTGTCCCTGTACCAATTGGCGTGTGTACAAATTCCTGTATCTTCCAAAGACATTGGGATTGTGAATAAATTTTGGACCTACGAGCAAAAGGGATAGCTGAAACTGACCATTTCACTTAGTTACTACTTTCTTAGTTAAAGTGATTAAACCTGAACCCTCTGTACACTTTCTCAAAAATAGTAAAATCTGTAGGCCTTTGGTTCTAAAATTTTGTACCCTATTTTTTGTTAAATATATTATTAGAGTTTATGTTATCACTGTGTTTTAGGATCTTGATTATTTCAATAAAATCTTCCCTTAGGCTTCTCTTCTTTAGTATTAATATTCTCGGCTAACATCCCCAGGTATCTAATTTAAGTATCAACCAAGTTACCCTTCAAGACGTCCTGGGAATAAGGCAATATAAATGTGTGATATTTTAGGCAGGGCTGGACCACGGCAAAATCACCTCCTGTGCCTAATGCTTTACCCACAAAATACAGTCAATTCCCTTCACAATATATTCTGTGAAGCGCTTTGAGACATCTCCACGATGTGATAAGGCAGTATATCAAATGCAAGTATTATTATTATTGTTATCCCTTTACTGAACCGCCCTTAATTATCAGAATGTTACACAGGAGAGCATCAGTCGCCAGTCTGGGAAACATTGACAGCTATTGAAGGAGAGAATAGTTAATATGAGCTAAAAGGTCGTACTTTGGTGTAAAGCAGTTGATCAATCTATATATCTGGCTGGAAAGTGAATCCAGCAAGCTGGCAAGAACAGAACTATTGAAGTAGCAAATGCCATTTATATCAGAAAACCTATTAAGTCTGAAGCCTTTTAAAATACTCTCAACACCTCAACAGAGTTCTAATTTATGTTTTTATCTAGAGGTTACAGAAGTGAACAAGAGGAGAGAAAATTACAAAGCTACTTTTTAGATTACACAAATGACAAGTAATTAAAAGGTTATTTACGAAAAAAAATTGAAATGTTAAAAACTAGGTTTGAATCAAGAACCAAAAGCAAACTCTTTGACATCAGACAAAAAATAAGTATCAGTGAAACCAGTAATTATTTTGCAGACAGACCAGGTATTATAACTACATACTGTATAATTTTTTAATTTCAAATTCAGAAAGATCATCTTCAAGCTGCCTACTCACTATTTAGTATGTTTTCAAACACTGCGGATCTGTTTCAGTTACCAAAATGGAAAAGGTAATTGAAGACTTGCAAATATTTAACCCATCATGTACTTCTAAGGTTTGGAATCATCCAGTAAAGGATGAGATGTTAAAATTGTTTACTAATAGGTCTGATAGTTACATTCAGATTTGTGTTGTCTATCAGTAAGTTAATGTAATTAAACGTATGTTCCCCATCAAAACAAAAGTAATATTTAACAAACAGTACTTATGCGCAACAAAATCTTAGAACTCTGATCTTAGAAAGATTACAAGTTGCACTGTGGTCATACAATGTTTAGCAATAGTAATCCTTGCATTTCATATCAGGAAGATGGCTCAAGGCACTTCACAGGATTTACTGTAATGTGTAGTGACTGTGTATTTTGTAAAAGAAACTAAGAACAGCAGTATCCCGCAATCATCCATGAAGTGAATGACCAATTTGATCCGGGGGATTATTTGGTTTTCCAGATTCCAATCAATTTAATTCTTTTACCCCAAATCAATTATATTATTCTGATGCACGTTGTCATTTTCTGCCATGTTTTAATACTGAAAGGCATCACCAGGTAAAGATATTCTGTCCGCCATCATTCGTGTTGGAGAGTTTGTCTCGTTGCTAAGCCCATGATGAAGAACTTTAAGACAGCAGCAGCAGTGACCTGGCTTACTGCCAGCGGAGCACTCAAAGGCTCCCATTGCTCTTTCTCAGGAAAGTGGGTTACTTGGTGAATTCTAACATGTTGAAATATCTCTATGGCACCACTTTCTACTCACCAAGTCTGGTTTCAGCAATGCCTGCTTGGGCAGCCAAACCCTACTTTATCTCTATATAGATGTAAATGTCATTTGTATGATTACTCTCGACATCTCCGGGCGCTCGCGGGCGTAGATTGTGTCATAATTATTTCGTCTGACCAACCGTTTGAACGCAAGACCGGTTACCTCTCTGATTACCGCTCGAACGGACACGCAGATGAAGGCAATTCCGTTTACGTATCTCACGAGATGCAACGCATTGGCTTGCGCACCAAAACACGAATCGAAAACTTAAGAAAAAAGGAAAGGTCTCCCGTTGAAAGAAGGTGTCATCGACCAGCATCCAGGGAGGCAGCTGTTTGCAGTCAGAAGGGACAGATACCCAGATATGATTAGCATTTTAGAAGTTGTAATATATTTTTTGTGGGTTTTTTTTTGGAGGGGGGGGGGGGGGGGGGAGATGGGGGGGAGGGAGTGCTTTTTTTTTTTTTTGCATCACCGTTTTTCTTTTGTTTCTTAGACGGTTAACCGTGAGTCCCAGTGAACATGGCTCTCAGCAGAGAGCGATGCTGGAAGAGAGCCGCCGCCGTCTGTCATCCATCGGCGGACGCGGTGCAGCATCGGGGGGACAAGGAGCAAACCAACAGCGGCACTGCTCTCACCGCACACCGACGCTGCCCCTCCTGTTTAAGCAGCGCAGCAATGTACCGACCTATTCGCCCATCTATCTATCTGTTTTCGCCGCCAATACAACCGGCCCGAGCTCCGAGCTCTTTTCCGCGAGAGCTGCGATGTTGCTTACCGCGACGGTGGGCATCATGTTGGCGGCCGAGTGCTGTGCGCTGTCCTCGGTAGCTGGGAGTCCTGGACCGGTCCTCCCTCCCTACCTCCCTCCCTCCCTCCCCGCAAGTCACTAACTTACAGCAACGCTGCACCGTCTCTCCCCTGCGCCGGCAGCCACTTCAGAGTGAGTGACAGGCTGGCAGGGTCTCCATGGTAACCTGCCCGGGCCACTCCTCCCCCCCCCCCCCACCCCCCCCCACTCCATGAGCTCATGATATCACACAGCGGTGGGGGGTGGTGGTGGGGGGGGGGTCGGTGGTGCAGAGTGATCCAATGGCTATTTGGACCTCCCTTTTGGATGGTGTGGTTGGTAGTCAAGAACCCTCCAGATGGAGTGACGGTTTGCCATCCAAACCTGAACTGGTCTGCGGGGCCTTTGCAGCTCGTCAACAGGCTCTGCTGCGTTTGCCCGCAAACTCACGCTCGCCGTACCTGACGTAGATTTACCTGTCGGACGCTTTGGAGACCTTTCTGCGTTGCCTGTTTGATTCCCGGGCAGGGCGAAACGTTGGGCAAGTTTCCTTTGCTCCACGCGCCTCTGTTTACCGAGCAGTGAGTAGGAACCTCGTTTTTAGTTGATTGGTGGACAGCTTAGCCGGGGGGTAATAAGGCCTTAAGAAAAAAATTCAATAATAATTTGGTCACTCAATCCACAGCTGTTTGTGTGCGATTGCCTGCCTCATTTTGCCCACAAAATATACAGTCAATCCACTTTACAGTATATTCTGTGAAGCGCTTTGAGACTTCTTGAAGACGTGATAAGGCACTATATCAAATGCAAAGATTATTATTATTTATGTAATGCCCTTCAACCTGGGTAGCATCTCAGAGAGCTTAACAACAATAACAACAAATTACACTTGTATCGCACCCTTCATGTTGGAAAGATGTCCCAGGGCCCTGGACAATCAGGGGGTTTGGACCCGAGCCAGGAATTGGGGTCAGAAGAGGAGGAGGGCAGGGGCTGAGGTTGAGGGTAGCTGAAGGCATGATCGAAGAGGAAGGTCTTCAGATCGGACTTGAAGGAGGCAAGAGAGGGGTGAGTTGGAGGGATTGCGGAATAGAGTTCCAGAGTGTGGGGGCAGAGATGCTGAAGGCTCTTCAAATGCAATATCAAATGTAAGGATTATTTATTTATTTGCAATCTGATCTGCATCCATGCTGCTCTGTAAATGGCGTAAGTGGTGCACTTGTGAGGAAAGGAAAATATGAAATAAGAGGCTGGAGCCGAAGGGCCGCTACAGCAGTGAGGTATCGGATGTCCCAAGTTAGTGCCTTGGGACGTCCTTCTGATGTGAAAGGCGCTATATGTAATTTATTGTTGCTGTTGTTGGTGGGATAAGTACAAGCAAGTCGTTTTGATAGATTGTGCACATTTGGAATTTCCACTACTTCACAATGGTGACCCCCACTGTTGTTTAGGGAAGGGGATGGATCTTGACAGGTCATGGTCGAAAATTGGAGTTGTGGAGATTGATGAATATTTTGGGGTTTTGGGTGATCTTTGGGCGTTTATTCCGAGTAAAGTAAGGTTGGTTCGATACAGTCTGTGGAAGGAGTGGGCTGGATGGTTTTATGTTGTTCTGTACTTTCTTATATTTTTATACTTTGCTCTTATGATGTGTCAGCCTAGCTCAACTGGCAGTACTCTCATCTGAGTCCTCATATCCGCGCCACAACTGGTACCGCCTTCCACCACCTCCGGAATATCGCCAGACTACGGCACTACCTCATCCCTCACACTGCTGAAACACTGGTCCACGCCTTTATCACCTCAAGGCTGGACTATGGGAAACTCTCTCCTCTCCAGCCTTCCTGGCACCTCCCTCCACAAGCTGCAGGTCATCCAAAACTCTACAGCATGTGTTCAGCCTGCACCAGGCTTCGCGACCACATCACTCCCACCCTCGCTCGCCTCCACTGGCTCCCCATCCCCCAGAGGATCGAATTCAAGATCCTCATCCTCACCTACAAGGCCATTCACGGCCTTGCTCCCTCCTACCTCTCCGACCAACTATCCTCCAACTTACCTGCCCGTACCTTCCATTCCTCTGGCTCCGGTCTGCTCCATATCCCCCGCCCTAACCCCCCTACCATCGGTGGCCGGGCCTTCAGCCTCTCAGCACCTAGGCTCTGGAACTCAATCCCCCAGTACCTTCGCCTTGCTTCCTCCCTTTCCTCCTTCAAGGCCGGTCTCAAGACCTTTCTCTTTGACCGTGCCTTCAGCTCCCCTCTCGACTCTCTACCCCCTCCTCGCTCCCTCCCTTCCCCCACCCTGACCATTTTCCCTCTGCTCGGGTCCCGACCCAACTGTCCAGTGCCTTGGGACATCCTCCCGACGTGAAAGGCGCTCTATAAATGCAATCTTGTTGTTGTTGTTGTTGTGAGTCAAAAAGTTGCGGGTTCAAGCCCCACATCGGAACATGGAACCCATGTAGTCTATGTTGACATTCCATTGCAGTGCTGGAGTGGTGTGCTGGTTATTGGAGGTACCGTCCTTCGGTTGAGACACTAAACCGAAGTCCCCTTTTTCTGTGTAGGTGGTCGTTAAAGATCTCAAAGCACAATTCAAGAAGAGAAGGGAGTTCCTTCTGTTATCCTGGCCAAGAATCCCCAGATTAAATAAGTCACTCATTCCATGGCTGATTGAGGGATATTGCTGTGTGCAAATTAACAGCCTCGACCACCCAAAAAATACACATGGGAGAAACAATTCAGAAAAGTTTAAATGAGCAATGACCATAATAGAACTGTATCAATAAATTTGGAAGATAAGCCAGGTCTACTTGGAGCTGACTTGGAGCTACAACAGAATATTGTAATCGAGTCAATCCTCTATGGCAGTCTCAGTAGTCCGGTTTCTGAGCTAAGTGGATTTACAGTATTCCAGGGTACTGCTTTCCACTCAGCACCTGTTAACCCTACAAATCAAAACACAAATGGGTAGGGTGGTCCTAGCAGGACAAGCAGGTGGAAATTTGCCAGAAACTACATTCAATGACATGCTATGCGTTTTAGCTGGTTGAACATTAACTCAATACTAATCTCATTAAAAATAAAAAAATATATATTTATAAAGTGTCATTCACATTGGGAGAACATACCAAACATAACCTGCGCTTAACAACATCCAGAATTAGGAAAAATAGTTTTGGCCCTCCAAAAGAGAGTCCTCATTCCATTTGAGACACAGGGAAATTTCCATGTGTCGATGGCCATGCATAAACAAAGATAAGCATGATGAATGGATTGCACATGTATCAGACTCCTGGCTGACCAAACAAACATTTATTCAAACTGTTAATTTTCAGATCTGCTCTGAATCTAATAGCAGCTCTTTGCTTCATTCTCAATCCACTCTTCTCAATCCACCACTAAGTAAATAATTATTGCTGTAAACTGATAACAATCAATCACCCATGAAGTTTAGTCTTATCCTCACAAGTAGGGGCAATTAGATTGCAGGATCAATCATCCCCTGCAGGGAGTACAGTGCATCAACAATAATTACAGCAATATTTGTGTTTTCATAATGACAGCATAACAACAGGGTACATCTGGAGACTACTGTAATGAGACTGGGTATCTGATACAATTGACTTGAGGTACATATGGGATTTCCCATAGCCTAAAGGATGGTTTAGAATAAGTTTGGTTCAACAAATGATGGCTAGCTCTGCATTTTGAAAGAGATGGTCAGAGATCCTGATGGTATTATTGTCAGAGGGAATTGCACTGACAGAAAAGGTAATGTGATATTGATGTTTGGATTCATACAATATGTTGAGGTGCAGTTTCAGAAACAGCCTTAATGACATCCTCCGGGTCATTGGAGAAGATGAGAAATAGAATGGATCCAATTGAACTCTGCTGAGGATCTCAGAATAGACGTTATACAACAATATAAATATTCATTTATCATGTCCCAATGTTTTTGTCCTTTGATGAGCATGCCAAATATGCTAAAATGTCACTGGGATGTTAAGCCCTATTAATGGATATTTTTCTGACATTGTGCTTAACAATGAGAGTATTATTTTCAAATGTAAACTTTCTATTCTTATCAAAGCCATGATCAAGTAGCTGGTCCTATGAATTTGAAAGACACTATTTGACACTTTTTAGCAAAGATATTGTTTTCCCTGAATATATGATCACAAGAATATATATGAATTTCCAGGTATTCTTTTTAGTGCAAACAAAATAAATGTATTAAAAAACCAAATTAAGCAAAGTTTCTGAATGCAATGGTAATGAGGGCTATGTTGAGATGTAGTTGTGTCTTGACATTTCATGTCATGAATCATGATCAACAGTATAAATGGAATGGTCACAGGCATAATATAAAATAATAATAATCCTTGCATTTGATATAGCGCTTTTCATGTCTTCCAGATGTCTCAAACCGCTTCCCCAGAATATACTGTAAAGTTAACTGTTTGTGGCTGAAACATAGCAGTTAATTGCGCACAGCAGTGTCCCACAAACAATCATGGATTGAAGTGTCCAATTTATTATTGGGTTTTTTTCTTGATGGATTATTGTCAGGTGTGTGGAGTAAGGAAATTTGCCCAAGATTTTGCCCTGCCGGGAATCAAACCCAGGTTTCTTGCTTGCGAGATGAGTGCTCTAACCACTGAGCTACAGGACTCCACATGTACAGCACCATCCTCAAATGTTTAGATATAATTCCAAATTTTCTTTCTTTGCCCCATTCCTGTAACCAATTCCCCTCCTCCTGAAACATTTCTGTTCTTACCAGGAACTAATATTAAATTAAAATCCACATCTCCATTCAATTAATTTTTTTTTGTTTAGCCAGGTGTCTGATAATCAATGGCAGTTTAGGCAGTTCTCCATTTTGAGAGGAGATAAATGTCTTCCAGTCACTGAGTCTGACCAGTAATAAAGGCATAGCTCATGCCAGAAAAACTCATCGCAATAATGTATATAGTCTGATATTAAGTGTGAAACCTTTATATAGTCTGATATTAGTGACACCTCTGTATGATTTGATATCAACAGTGACACCTCTATATAGTTCGATATTAACAGTGACACCTCTATATAGTCTGATATTAACAGTGACACCTCTATATAGTCTGATATTAACAGTG